CTCTCTTATGAATGTGGATTTTTCAAAGACCCTCATTATATTTCTGAGGTGGCCTTTTCTTTTTCTGGGCCATCGGTAGAAATTAGAGGTTGAAAACCGAAACAGGCTGAAATTCAGCCTGCCCCTGCGAGCTTCAGCAAGGCTCCAGGGCCTTCCCTTGAACTCAGAGTGGTTCATGCTCCTCTCCTCTGGTATCAGATTGCTACCTGCATTATAGTCTAGTCTACTCATGTTTTCATGATCCCAAGCAATGGGTCTGGTTTCTCCTTCTCAGAAACTCTATTCCTTGGTCCGACACTCTTCTCAGAAAGTTTAGCCTTTTATAGAGATGCCTTATTTCCCACTGCTTTCTCATTTCTCTCCACCATTTACTGTTGCTTAGTCTCTGTGCCATGTGTGTTTACCACGGAGGACTGTTCATTAGGTCCCCCTGAGAAAGGCAGAATTACTAAGGCAAGAAGTCAGCATCAAAGCAGTTCAAGATGGTGGGCAAGTTCAGCTCCAGATTCAGACACCTAAACAAAGGTGTCTTCGATGGAGGTGTCTCCATGTGATGGGGGTGTCCAAGCTTCCCTTGTGTTCAGTGGAGTTGTAGGCAATACATGGGTCTAACCAACGACCTTCGTACGGCTCTGGCTCCACTAGTTGTAATGACTCAGGAAACAATTTGGTTGACTTTTGCCTAGTGTCATTTGAGATGCCGTGAGTACCCTGCCTCAGCCCAGCTCCCAGCTCAAAAATGTTCTTGTCTTCTCTATGCAAGTTTGTCACATCTGCCAGCTCCACATGGAGGTCTGGAATGTCCTAGAGCATCTCAAATGTTGCTGGATTCCCATCTGTCATGGTTGCACTAAGCCTTAATTCTCCATTGAGTAAAGTAAGAGACATCACTCACCCATGGACACCCCGAGGTGAGTCGCTACAGTAGGAGCTGAATCCTGTCTGAAATGCAAGGTGCACTGTGATGTGAAAGAGATCTGTTCCCTGCTTTAGCATGGATTTTATATGAGACCTTGGATAAATCCTTCACATCTTAGTGCTTCTTCTGTCAAATGGGGACATTATAAAGCTCTACCTCACCGTACTGAACGTAGGTTAGAAGATGTCTCACCGTAAGGACTTCAGGGCGCATTACTAAAGGGATCTGGGGGACTAATTCTTGTGATGTGTCATTCAAGACACATGGGCTTGACTCCTCCATGGTGCTGACTATGGCCTGTGAGTCACTTATTGCTTCTAGCAGGTGATAGGAGAAGTTGAAGGGATATTGTACAACCCCGTGCAGAGAGTCTGAAGATAACCCCAGTCTATGCCAGTCTGACTTGTTATGGGCAGGTGGGATACAGAGCCCACACATGCAGCCACAGGGCTTCCAGCCCCATGGTAGCTGATGTCCTCCTGGCTTGAGAATGCCCACAGAGAGGTGGCAGTGCATGGCGGGTATTTTCCGCTCCCAAGACTAAGCACAGAGTGGGAGGAGTGGGAGTGGGTTTTTTGAAGTGACTTCAGTTTTAAACCAACCCCAACCCTTTGATAAACAAACCTTGGGAGGGAGTTGAAACCCACTCATGCTAGATGAAGGTGCGTCAGTCACCACGTGCAAAAGTCAAAATCAAAATAAAGAAATACTTCCCATGTGATCCAACTTGCCAGGACTTTTTGTTCTAGTTATAATTGGAGAGATCTATCTAGTTGCTTAGAAATAAGGCCTGGAGAAGTGGAAAAGAAAGGAAAAGTTTATCCCACAGTCTATAAGAATGATACGTTGTATGAAGACGTCACAGGCTAGAAGTAACAGGGAAAGATGGGAATGAGAAACTCATGGTCAAGATGACAAAAGCCAAGGCGTGCTTTGTCATTTAGGTCTGCATAAAATAGCCAGGGAATAATTTCTGTGGCAACACAGTAAGAAGTACTGGAGAAGTCTTTATATGGCTCCATGGTTCCTGTTGATGTCCACCTACTGATCACACCGCCCTTACACCCAGGTCCAGATCCTGCTCATCACTAGGATGCCAAAATTCACATTTTGCACAGAGTCGTGAATTTTTAAACAGCAGCAGGAATATGTCAAAATGTCTAGAGCTACTTCATTCCCCCCCTCAGATCTTAGTGCAAATGAGGAGGCAATGAACTTTTTTGTAAGGGTAGGACTCATCCTGCCTGACTGCTGGTGTTCGCAAGTCCCCGCACTCCCCTGTCAAGGGATGGAGACAGACACTTCGGGAGCATGAGTCAACCCCCCTTGTCCCACACATGGATCTTAGGACAGGGTGAATCACTTTCTGGGGGTGTCTGCCTCTCTCTGTTGACTCGAGGAGACATTCAGATGACTATCAGCAGGCATGGTACCGTGCAACATGAGTGACTCAGCACACATACTCTCAGCCAGCTCTGTGCAATTTACAGCAAAGACTGTGATTAGTGTAGGTTTCTGCACTGAAAACATTACAGTGGGAAAAGCCTTTATGTGTATACTGGGTTTTTGTTTCTGGTGTATTTTATTCCTCTCTCTATTCCAGAATAAATGAACCCAACAGAAACATTTTTAAGCCAGTGTGACACATCTGTCTCTTGTGGGTTGGCGCTACTTGAGTTTCAGTATACAGGTACATCTAATGCCGTACAATTTTCCAGTATAACAGCACTAAAATAAGACAATACATGCCTTTTTTTTTTTTTCCTGCTAACCATGGAAAGTTTTTAAACTGAATAGCTAGAAGATACTGCAACAAGCAGTACTTATACACATAGCAGCACTTACCTTACGAATTGTGTGGCATTGCTCAGCCTTCCAAAACTGTTGATTATGTCTACCAAAAATGTAACACATCTGGTAGGTTAAAAATAAATCTAATCTACATCTGTTTGGGGCTGAGGCTATTCACTTTCAGAAGTTTCCATCCATTAGGGTCCCCAGGTCCTATATGCAAGTGTTTCTTATCAACAGTTGAGGACTTAGAATTTGGGTAAAAATGTGGTTTTCTCAAAGATGGCGGCCTAAAGCTTTGATAAGGTCCCTGATCTTACTGGTTTGTTGTTTTTTTTATATTCAGTCTGAAATGCTAGTGCATGCATGAGCCCAAAGCCAAGGTATTCAGAGAGAGACTTGAGAGCTGGTGGAAAGGCATAGTTTTGGTGGACCTACAGGCTGGGAGAATTTCAGTGAGGGGCAGAGGTGGAGGTCTGCCCTGTCTTCTTGGACACCTTCTCCATCACCTCTCCTCCAGACATAGCTGGGCTGGAAGGGGGCAAATCTAATCCCACCACACTGTGGGGCAGGTTCCTCAGAGAGAAGACAACAAAGTCTTCTTTAGATAAAGATAAAGAGTCAGTGGATCTTCCTCCTGTCCCCATGGGAGCCAGGTCCGTGTGGGCAGAGGGAAAAGAGAGAACAAGATAGGAGAAGAAGAAATTTGGAGTTTTCAGACATTTTAGCTTTTTAACCCTGAGCAGCTGCAGCAAGCTGCTGCTTGGGTTTTCTTAAAGTAGTAAAAGCAAAAAAAGAGCTGGACCTATTTTCCAGTACGTTAAACATCAGAGATGGAGGGGCGTTTGTTATTGTTTGTTTTGTTTGAAACCACTAGCATTTTTCCTTTAGTTTTTATAGGTGATGCTCCCAGATAAGTCTTTGGCAAAGGTCCAGTCAAAGTCTAGCTACCAAATTATTTAGCTTCCCATCATGGATCTTAGTCCACTGCCTGTTCCCTCACCTGCAGAGCAGTTGTCCAGTGAACAGCAGTGGGAGCAAAGGAATGAGATGCCAGTGGCCTTTTCTTTTCCCAGGAATCTGTCAATTAATTTTTATTATGATGCTTTGCTCAATGAGTTGTTCAATTTACCCTTGCGATAATCAATGGTATTGTATTTTTAAAAGCTCCTGAAGTGTGATGGGGCACTATTTTAGCCATTGGAGCAAATAGTTGAAGTGTTGGTTGTAATGGGGAATAAGTTCAAACCCCTTTGGAATATCACGGGGTGCCTGCCCCATGCCAGGGCGCAAGGGGATGAGTTGGAAAACAAGGGTGACCCCAGGGCAGGCAATGTCCTCACTGGTGGGAGCAGGACCTCAGGGTATGAGTGCACGGGGCAGAGCTGCATGTTGGTAATGACTCCCTCCGCAGTCCCAGACAAGGCAAGGGGATGGACCAGATCCGAGGTCCCTCCAGGGGATCCCACCAGGAGCAGAATGAGACAGGGCTGGAGGCAGGGCTGGAGACACGACTGTGACTTGGATCTGTGGTCCATCCAGAAGACAAGGCTGGAGATAAGCTAACTCCAATATAGGTCTTCAGTCCATCCTGGAAACAGGACAGAGGAGTTGCTGGAGGGATCAGGTTCTTTGTTTTGGGACCATTTGGAGGGTATTGATGAGTCTTCATGTTCCCTGTATTTATACACTCATCTGCATGGGACCACAGGGTGACAAAAAAACTGACCAATGGCCTGTTTTTCCCAAAGGTGAATACAAACAGGGATTCCTGATTAAGGCAGAATCAAATACAAGTCAATGTGAATGTTGCTTGTATGAAAGTATTTTAGAATAAAAGAGATCCATGCAGTTACAAGGAATATAGATGTCCTGCTCTTGCGATGGTGCACGCCAAGATAGACCCCTTTCTACAGAAAGCAACCTTCATACTTGGGCTGCAGCGTTTAGATGGGCTCTGGATTTTAAATTCTCAAATGTGGATCTCATCAGGATGAGGACAGAGGCTGTTCCCTGTAAGAAGAGAAGAGCTGGGGTGGGGTGGCAGAGCCAGCGGCTCAGGAATATGATAAACATCATGTGCTGTGTCAGAGAACTCCTGAATACAGCATCGTTTCCGATTCCCACACTGATATTTCTGTATTTCTCTCCTCTAGACTGTAAGGACAACCTGACGTGAGTTGAACCTTTGGGCTACTGAGCCTGCCCCAGATGCAATAATTTAGTGAGCAGATGATGTTTTCAACCAAACCTCCTGTCTAACTCAGTGGATCTGTGTGTCTTCCGGCAGGTGTGTCCTCTGTGGCCTCCCTGATGTCCCTGGCTTGGGTGCTAGCCTCCTATCACAAGCTTCTTCGGGACTCTAGGGACGACAAGAAGAGTATGAGCTACAGAGGGGCCCTCATCCATGTCTTCTGGCGCCTCTTCACCATCTCATCCCGAGTTCTTTCTTTTGCTCTCTTTGCTTCCATCTTCCAGCTCTACTTTGGGATCTTTGTAGTGGTCCATTGGTGTGCCATGGCTTTCTGGATCATCCATGGTGGGACAGATTTCTGCATGTCTAAGTGGGAGGAGATCCTCTTCAACATGGTGGTAGGGATTGTGTACATTTTCTGCTGGTTTAATGTCAAGGAAGGGCGGACTCGATACAGAATGTTTGCGTATTACACGGTAGTCCTGACGGAGAACGCTACCTTGACACTCCTTTGGTATTTTTACAGAGATCCTGACACTACTGACTCATATGCCGTGCCAGCACTGTGTTGTGTCTTTCTTAGCTTTGCTGCTGGGATAGCTTTGATGCTGTTATATTATGGTGTGCTGCATCCCACGGGGCCAAGAGCTAAGATCCTTGTCAGCTCCTGTTGCGCCGAGCTGCTCTGGGGCATTCCTTTGCCCCCCGATGTTGAGCCCATGGCACCCCAAACCCCTGGGTACCGGGGGGCCCAGGCTACGCCCACCAGAGCGGTCACGGAGCAACAGGAGGAACTCACAGCTGACACTTGCTTGCCCGTTTTCCAGGTGAGAGCAATGGTACCATCTACTCCATCTGGGCGACCCTACCCCCCCGAGGGGCCTCTCATTAAGATTGACATCCCAAGAAAAAGATATCCTGCATGGGATGCTCATTTTGTAGACAGGAGGTTAAGAAGAACTATCAACATCCTCCAGTATGTCACCCCCACAGCTGTAGGTATTAGGTATAGAGATGGACCTCTCTTATATGAGTTGCTACAATATGAATCTTCACTTTAAAAGCTCCTTAAAGCAAAAGTAAAAGAGGGGACCTTATTTTTGTTTACGGTAAACACAGATCATGAAACAAACACAAACCTTCAGATAAGCTTTCTTTCTGGTTGCTGTATGTATAAAAAAAAAAAAAAAGATATTCTCTATGTTTTGTAAGTAAAAACAAAAAGAAAAACTTTTCTTTTGTTTTTTACACACAAGAAACAGTATTTCAACTTCCACACCTAGGATTCACAGGTGGAGAAGGAGGCATCTCCACATCAGTTTTATACCGTACACCAAGTGTAGAACATTATTTATGGGATTGGTGCTGATTGAAAAATAAAAAAACAAACAAACAAACCTACAACTGCCTTATGCCCTTAGGTGCTGAGTTTCATTAAGTACTGTCACCTTTCTCATGCAAAAGTCTTTGATGATTATATGCCAGGAAAAAAACAACCAACTGAAATACAAACCTTAAAATTAAAAAAAAAAAAAAAAAAAGAAAAGAACAACAACAACAAAAAGAGAGAAATGGATGAAAAAAAATCTTGTTGCTCTTATTGGATTTAGCAGAAAAAACCCAAATGTCTAAAGATAAGAAAGCAAAGCCAAGACAACCCCCATGGAGTTTGATTCTTCCAACAGTTGAAAGACAAAATCAGGTCTGTAACTCAATTTGGCAATGCATTTATAACACCATTTGGCCAAGCCAGCAAGTCTTGACCGAGTCATGTTATAAACGCGATCCCACCATGTAACTGTTTTCCTCGTGTAAATGGGCCATGCGTAATGGTCGGTTTGCACCAGATTAATACGGTAATACAGTATCTGATCTTGTTTCGAACAATTGCACACGCTAAAGCGCCACTGACTTCAGTGGAGCAAATAACAACCGTCTGAGCCCAGAATAAGGCCTGCCACCTTGATTTCTGGAAAATAAGAAATCTGCAAACATTGAAATTGTATACCAAAAACATTACACTAAAGTACATTTACACATATCTAATAACTATTTCAGTAATAATAAAACTCAGCATAGTAGCAAAAAGCGAGTCAATTTAAAGGCACAATACTTGATCGGTGACTGGCAAAATAATTTGACCTACTGTATCATTTTAAGGCATACATGTATTATTTGTAATCTCGTGTAAGACCTGTCACGTCTCATTCAGTGCGAGCCTTAAAGTGATTGTAAAGCATCCTTCGTTCCATTTTGGGGGTTTTGGGTTTTGATTTTTGTTTTGTTTTGTTTTGTTTTGTTTTTAAGGAAAACAAAACATGAAAATCGGGATAAAAAAAAACAAACAACAACAAAACAACCAACAAACTTCTTCAAACGGTAATAACCTGTAAACTGACTCACGTCTTGAGATGATTTGGTGCTTTGTATTTTTGTTGATGTTGTTGTTGTGATTTAGCTGAGAATTCTTCAACTCGGTACATGTGGGGAACTGCTGATAAAAACTGTCTCGTGTCACCCTCTACTGTAAGTACATGGCGAGAAACAACACCAGAGGAAATTCAAGAGTGTAGCGAGAGCATCGTGGTTTAGCTTAGCCTTCTCACCGCAAGGAGATGCTGCCACCTCCGATGATGGCAAAGCCTAGACGGTCACCTGCCGAGGGTTGTGTGGTTGTCTTGACACTTCCAAATAAGCCGCTCGGCATCTGAACATTCACATCTCTCGAATTCTGTTTCTGTGCTGGAATCTCTTGTTTCGAGTTAAATCACGGGTTTGCGTCTATCCAACACCCTTTTCCGTTTCGAGAGTATTGCTCCTTTAAAGGCATATTCCCGTTTCAGGGCATCTTTTCAATCCCACCATCCCTCTACTTGGGAGGGGAAAAACAACAACAAAATGAGATATTTTTAAGTGAATGCTGTAGTATTTTCTGTGTGTACTTGCAATTTTTTATTCCAGAAATACTGTAACTGTCTAGGGTGCAAAACTCCCATGCTGACCTATTCTGAAGAGAAGATCAGCATGGGGGGGATATTTTTTAATTATGATTATGATTTTTTTTTAATTTGAGGAATCAGTTGGTTTTTTTAATTATAATAGTATTTAAAGAAACTAGTACCAATTTTATATAACAGTTTAAAGAAGCTGAATGCTTTCTTCGCCTGAATATACCTGAAGAGAAACATTTTTTTCAATCAGTGATCCTTTGCAGTGTTCTGAGAAAATGTTGGGGTTTCTTCAGTTGTTTCATTTTTGTTTTGTAAAGAAAACTTTTAACTGGTGTCTGTCCCTTTCAAGGAGGGCAGGACTCATTCACGCCAAACTATAGACACACGGCAAAGTTTATAAGAAGCCAAATTGTCACTGGTACTGTAATTCCCAGTCAAACTCCATTTCAGGCAAATGTTTCTGGGCTCTGATTACAACCAATATGATGGTCACATTTTCATGCAAAGGGAGGGATTTTGTCTTGTCATCCCCTATCTAAATTCCCACTCCCTTGTTTACTGTGTACATAAATACATATATATATACACATATATATATTTGTGAAAAGCTTTAATTTCCTTTCTCCATTGTCTGTGTCCCATAACCAGTCGCTTCTCAAGTGTCCTACTAACATTTCACCCTGTTTCTTCCCTAATCAGTATGCTGTCTCCGTAAAAAGAGGTAATTTGTGAAGTGAACTTGCTGTCCCCAGCTACTGAGTCATAACAACAGAGGTGCCCATCCTCCAGCAACAGGCCTGCATTTCTCCTCCCAGGACTTTCTTTTGACTTACCTTTAATACTAGTGTAGACTTACTCTGATCCAGCTCCCTGAGACTCATGCCCTGTGTAAAGACTCTCCTTGGTCCTTCCATGCAGAGCTCTCCTCTACACATCTGCATTTCATTGGCATAAGCATGAGAAAGGAGTGGATGACAAACAACCCTGCTGTTCCTTGGGGACCTTTCCTCCAGGAGATAGCATCCTCATTTTCAAAAGCAACATGAGAAGGTTCCCCTCCCTGAACTTGTCAGTCCTGAGGTCTGGGGCCCTCACCCCACTCCCTGGCCCCACTGAACAGCTGGACCCTGCCGCTTTGCACCAGGACACTGAAATGAGTCAACGAGCTGAGGCACACTCATCAGGAGTCGAGGAGGAGACCCTTCAGTGTTGCCTCTCATGAGCATCTGCAGCCTGCCTTCCCTCAGGAACGGGACCCTTGCTCCAGACCGCCACACCAACAGCCGTCCTCTCCATCCCGTTACGGGAGCGGAGGGGCAAAACACTCTAGAAGTGACCTTACCTCTCAATGCAGTGCTAATTTCTCACAGCCAAACCAGCTTGACTAAGGGCTTGACACACCCCTGTTCCAAAGTCCTCCTTCTTCGTGGCTCGTGGTATGGATAACAATCAAGGCAGGTGCCTCCACTGCTTGTTAAGACTGTTTCATTACGCTTAGTTGCATAAACTTTCTGCCTCCGCTATTAGTCCTTTCTTTGAATGATATCCACTGACATCTTGATTTAGCAAAAGATTTCCAGTGAGAGCCTGTGTCAGCCCTGAAGAACTATTTCTCTTTGAAGGACTTCATTACAGCCTTAACATAAAGCACGTGCTCTACCACTACACCCAGCGAGTTCATGGTGGACAGTTTGGTGTGGTGACCATTTCCTCTTGGGATTATCTGTGATCTTGTTGCCAAACAGCGCCTTTTGCCAAGCCAAAAGCTCGGGGAAGAAAATTACCCCCAGCTCTTTTTTGGTACTAATCCCAATGCTAAGAGTCTAGTCCTCACCTCCTGGTTTTTTTTTGCTCAGGGTCTCTTTGATTTTTGGGGTGCACTTTGGCAGGATGGTCAGTGACTTGTTTTGGTTTCACTTGGTTTTTAACTCCTCAGCTTCTCCCTGGTAGCTTAGTTATACCATGTCCCACCTTCTTGCCAGAAGATACTGCATGAGGGTTTTTTCAAACTGTCATGGAGAAGGTTGAGTCCATATTTATTCACATCACAAGATCAGTGGGCAACTTCTCTGGCACGTTTGTGCTGCTGGATTCACCCTGGGATCATCTAAACCAGCCAACTATGCCGTGCCAGGGCAAAGCCAGGGCACGAGGGCTCCACCATCCTCACTGTTATGTTGTTCAAACCTTCCCTGGCATGGTTTTGACCCACTCCAATGAGCCCTTGGCTCAGGCATAGCTTGCACAGGCGTTGATCCTGGCCAGAGACCATCCCCAATCGGCAGTTTGGATGCAGCCGCTCTGTATCAGGGGTGAAAGATACAGCACTTGTCAGTTGGCTTCATGACCAGAATGGATCCTGGCAGTGCTTAATTTGCTAATAAAGACGTAACTCTATGCCACAGACCAGGATTCAGGACTTGGTGGAGTACATCAGCTCCGATCTGGCATTTTTTCTATTTTCTGCCCAATTCAACGGACAAGGTATTTTTCAGTTCACTTTGTTCTTTTTGCTGAGGTTATAATGCAAACAGTGTCACTTTTATCATGCTGATGTCAACCCATCCATCCATCCCTCCATCCATGTCAGATGGCTGGCATGATTAGTGTGATAGCGTTATACATCTGTAGGCAGCCAATTTGGAGACAGGAATGATTCAGAACAGACCTAATCAACAATGGAAATACAGGAGTTGCAAGGTCCCTGCCCATGCCCTTGTCATGCTTTGCCACCCACACAAGGCATTTTTCATCCGCAGCGTATCCAACCTGAACTGCAGAAGAGGAGCCAATGTTGTATAATTACCAGTGGAAAGTGCAAGCGAGCCACCGATTTCAAGTGTAAATATATATTATTTTCAGTGTTGTGGATTGCAGCTAATTGTCTGCTTCATCCTGTCCTTCTCTGCATCTGCCAAAAGTCAGTAGCCATTTGCATGTATTTTTATTTAAAGCTGACTAGATGAAACAGGACAAAATTAATTTTGGTCTTTAGTCAGTGGTCTGCTAAAACCTGACTGATGCTGCTCACGAGGGGAGCATTGCTATTGACTTTCAGAGAGCAATCATCCTGTGCTCTTCAGATATATTTCTGTACACACAAGATTCAC